GGGACTGCACACACTTCTCCCAGCGGTGCCTCCATTGTTGGAAAAATTTGTGGAAGGCCTCTTTGTTAATAGAGTACAGCTGGGCCGTCGCGTTCTGCAAAATGTCTTCTCGTGACTCAAATCGGGTCCCTTTCAGCGGCATTTTCACAAGGAGCCATGTCGGGAGCCTGACGAACCAGAGGAATGTTGTGTTTGGCCTAGAAAGCCTGAACAGATGCGAAGAATGGGCGGGTGCTTTGATGGAGCTGCCAAGTTCCCGCCGCCCACAGGTCCGGTCGTTTGCGCCGCACAGCATCACGAAGGAGACGGGTGACCTCGTCCGCAAGTTCTCGGACGGTGACACGACGGTCCAGCATGACCAAAGTCCACACTTGGTCAATGACCTCGTCATTTCGGCTTATTGAACGTGGTTCGCTCTCCACCGACGTGCGGCCATCTTGGAAGCGGTTGCACCACTCCTTAATTCGTGTGATGCTCATGGCATCGTCGCCGAAAGCCTGCTGAATCTTCCGAAAGGTTTCCACTTGGGTAACGCCAAGCTTTTGGCAAAATTTGATGCAACACCTCTGCTCAAGTCGTTCCGTCATTTCGCGGTAAATGAAAATCCGACGGGCGTTCACTACACTCACTCACTCACTCACTCACAGGCTGACTGACGCAAATTTGTTTTTTTGGGTAAACAAATTACGGAAAATAAGGTCACAGACCACCAATTCTGTCCTGGTTTAGAGTCTTTGAGATGTTTTCTTTCTAGGAATAATTTTTACTATCGTATTTAACTACACACGTTCAATGATTAGGCCTGTAAGCCTTGGGGGAAATGAACATTGATAACAAATGCAAGCATTTGTCGAATGCTCCTGCACTAACGCTGTAGGCATTCTGCTAGTAACAAATCGCCTAAGCTTTTCTAACATTTCATTACGCGAATTATCGGCATGTTACTATCATCTTCATTACAACACAAGGACAACAACAGAAGATCAAAACATAGAAGAATTTAAGATTCTGGCTTCTGACGCTCTGAAAACGCGAAAAATTAGTTTTGACTTTGTGTCCGGAGATATTTCATAAACCTTGCAAGACCGGTGTGCTAATTCAAACCATTCAAAATCTGATCCTAAACAGCATTTATGTGACATTGAGGGGCGTGTGAGTTCTGTTGTGCCGGCACTCCTTCCCGCCCTTATTTGAAGCCCATATTATTAAGATTGTTAATACTAATTATAGTAATCCCATATCTAGTATGGAGTGCGGAATGGGAACCGGAATTCTGCTGACGGTGCAGTAGCGAGGATCTCACTTCCTACTGCATGCATCAGCGTTCAAAGTTCTTAGTTCCCGGTTGAACAAAGATACATGTGCCTTCCATGATGGTTGAAGAATGCCGAACAAACAACGTGGACCAATAAGAAGCGCCAATTTCAGGGCGGTTGCCGGGACACACGTCAAATGCGCGTCCTTAGAAACTAAAAGGTGCGAGGTCATTGCCTTGCGGCGATTTTTAGGGCAGAATCTGCGTCACTCGCGGCCATAATTTGGTCACTGTTCGTCATAATCTGCGGCTGGGGTGAATAAAACATGTTGTTTGTTATATGGTGACGTGTGAGAAGGAGCTGGTTCTGGTTCGGAGAAGGGCATAGGAAAGTGTACGAGGTGCGATCGAAAGGTT